AAATACCATTATAGCTTACTGGAAGGAATGCAGACCAGCTTTTTGATGTCAAATTATGCAAACTGTGAACAATTTATAAGTGGATTTGTGCTTTTTCTCATAAAGACAAGCTCATCTTATACTTAAAATCAGGGTATGAAAGATAAAATTCTTCCCTCCTTCATGTATTTGCCTTTATTTCTTTGAAATGATGAAACAAGTTAGAATGCTTTCTAACAACTTCGAAATATTAAAGGCCCAAACAGGATAGGGATGATGTTTTGAAGGCAATAAATATTTCAGCTTCACATTTCAGTCTTTCTTCTTCGTTCCTTTGATCTGGCTTTGGTTTAGTTATCATTCCGCTTGAATGACTTCACACTGTCTTTCTTCCTCTCCACACCAAAAAGAAGTGTTCTGCACATATTCCATATGTTTGGGCGCTTGTGTTGTAGGAGAGCCCTTGTTGTTGTTCCTCATTGTTTGCTGGTAGTAACTGCCTCTGTAGTAAGATACTGTAACCACAGATGAGATGGGTGCATTTAGGCACAATAGGTAATTTACACTTGAAGCTGTTACTTAACTGTCACTATTTTGCTTTTGCATGGGAAGATCGTGTATGTTTGGATGAAGGTTGTGTTTTTAGCTACTCGATCAGCTGTGTATTAGGTTGTATATCAAGTTGTATTCTCCCTTGGGAATGCATGTCTGTATAGTGCTGTGTTCTTTTAAATCTAAACGGACTGTATAAACGGTGATAACTGATTTTGTTTCAACACAGATTAGTAAAAAAGTCAATACTTATTTACTGTGTCACCAAATAAAGCAGAAAGCTGTTAGAAACAAACCCAGCAAGATTCTCCTTCAGCTGCCTTCCAGCAAGTGAGGAGTTTGGAGTCTGGTGGGTAGCAGTTTTCTCTCAGGAGTGTCACTATGTGGGAAGGAGAGGAGGGAATGAGCAAAGACCTGTGTTACTGCAGCAAATCTAAATACATACAATCAGTGCATATATATAATGCGAGATCATCAGGGTAATCTGCAGGAGAGCCTGGCCTTTCCAAGCGGATCACTGTTCAAAGATCTCCACTTTATCAGTGGGACTGAAGGCTCAGCCATTTCTTTGCCTATACTCCAACCTTGTAGAGCAAGATTAATTGTCATCTACAGGGATAAACCCAGCATCATCCTAACCTGTGATAGACAAGAGATGAAGGCTCTTGCTCATGTAGAGTCCATCAGAATACAAGTTTCAGAAGCTTCTTCAGTGGCAAAATGTATCTTTATCTTAGAAATTCCTCGCTCTGCTTTTATGCTCCAATACAAAGCATGGTCGGCTTGGACACGGGCAGACTTGCACTGTTGCCAGCAGCACTGGAAAACCTGGCAAAGAATTTGCATATTCATGAGTTAAAGCCTGGTGTAATTTTTACAAGGAAACCTCGGGCGTTTCACAATTAGTTATTTTTCATATCCCTGGAAAGCTCATTAAACTACACACAGGGAGCCTGGGTGCGGGTTTGCTGGTGGGATGTGGAACTCCATCCACAGAAGTTGTCCACATGTGGCTCATGGAGGTACATGTTCTGTGCATGTGTGTGCTCACATGCAATCTGAAGTGGTTTAACTTGTTGAAAGAGGCTGGGACCAAGGCAGGTGCATCCCCTGCTCTTGTGGGCTGATGGTGAGCCCTTGCTTTCATAGTGGCAGTGCTGAGGACCCTGTGAGTAGCAGTGCTGGTTCATAGTACATTTGCTGCGACATCTTGAGTTTATTTAACCCCTCCTGTAAATCACTGCACTGCCCTGTGTTTCATTAACTTGACTCGCAGTGCTGTAATGTCTTACTGTGTTTAGTTGTTATCTCTTGGAAGACATTTTATGAAGCAAGGAAAATATTTATGATTAAGCATGAAGAGGAAGCATGTCAGATGTTTATATTTTCCATTTATCAGTACACTTCAGAGTGCTGCTCTCTGAAATTGCAATTCTGGACTTCACAGTCAACTTCCACGGCGATGGTTTGTGCTGTGTAAGATTGCTCATTCTGTTGCCATATCCTTTATATGCTGAAACAAAGGGAATTTGCTGCTTTTTAAATTGGGGCCAAAGAGTAAATTCACCCTATTTTTATATTCAAGCCGGCTCAGCTTGAGGGGATTTGAGTGATGTAATTGTATTGTATTCAGCCCCACAACTAGTCCAACTGAAAAAAATAATCTTCAAAGTGAATATTTTAGTGCCTCATGCAAGGCACATTGCTGAGTGTCTTGGGGAAAAAAGTAAAGCTTTTCTTACATTTGTGAGCTGGGGTCCATTGTTGTACGTGGTTTCTAAGCTTTCTGTACAAATCTTGGCTGCACAGAAAGTAGAGCTCCCACGTCCTTAAAAAGTGAAGCTTTATGCCTGGTTATAATGAGATGTTGCATTTATTCATGGGATTAAATCCTTAAAGGAAGGTGCATAAAACCAGATTCCTAATGGTTTACGTCATCATATTTCAAAATAAAAATATATTCCTAATGAAGAAGATGCATAAATTCAGAGGCTCACTAACAATACGAGGACCGACATACTGTCCTTTCACGTTTAGATTTTTTGCATTTCCATCTGACTCGACCAAACATGTTGTTCCAAGGTCTCTTGACACCAGTGTGGATATGTTTGAACAAGCTTCAGGTTTTAGGTTTTGTTTCCAGTGTGCAGATGGAAGTATTAAATGTAGTTTGTGGGGAGGGAGGTTTGTTGCCTGGTGCCCATAACTAATTAAGGATCTTGGGGAGGAGAGGCTGAGGTTTTCCTCCCTCTCTGTTCCCTCCAAGGTAACACATGTGGATAGTGCTCTGCAGGTGGATCTGATCCCATCTTCTCTTTCAGGATGTTGAGCTGTATATAGGTCTTGTAAGAAGCTGAACCATTTTCTATATTCTTTCCTGTGGTAGGTTTTGTTGGAGATGGGCATGATGTGCTCAGTGTAATTCAATATCAAACCTAAAAACATCTGTACTCAGCAGCTCCCTGGTACCTGGGTTTCAGGGGGATAATTGAGCTCAGTGCCCTTGCAGCTGGAGCTGCTGCATAACTAACTGAGCAGACAGTACATCTAATTTCTAGCTCTGGAGGCATCATTGGTGTGCCCATTCTGAGAAATGTCTGAGGATTTTTGTACATGCAGTTTTGATCCTTTGGGTCCCCTGTAGTAGAAATTTAAGCCCTAAATGGTCTTTCTTCCAGTTGAATTTAGACAGGTGGAAAAAAATGTTGGTTTTAGCAGTGTTGAATTTTTGCTGTGTAATTTTTATTGTCTTATAAATGAGTGGAGAATATGGTACCTTAAATGAATATACAGATACGCTTCCCCCTCGAAGGAGTTCAGAAAATAGCAGTGCTGAGGCAGTAGCAATAAAGCATGTCTGTAGAGGGGTGATGGATGCCAAATTTGAAGAAAATTTGTGCATGGTCTACGAATGCAGACCCCAACCCCCTGAACAGTTATCACCACAAATGTGATGCAGGGGTTTGTTCTGTTTTGCCCCAGTTTTTCCCTTTCTCTATAAGGAAAACCGTGGTCTCCTTCTGTCTCAGTTATTCTGTCAGCTGTGAGTAAGGTACCAAAATCAAGTATTTCTTTAAAATGTGCCTGATGGAAAAGCTTGTGGCATTTCTTTGACCTCTTTGCTAACAGAATTGCCCTGCTCTGCTACACTGCAAGCAGACGCCTTGTGAAGATGCAGGATTATGTTCTTTGTCCCATTGTCCAAGTCTGGTAGGAAAACCACAGAAGAGGATGTGAATGCTGTAACTTTGGGCTTGGCAGCTTCCTGACCTTTATAAAAGGCTTGCTCGGTGCTGTAATAGCTAGTTCAGTGCTGGCAAGGTGTCAGACTAGATGAATTAACGGGTCTTTTCTGTCTCTTACGTGTCAGAGTCTTTGTTTTATATGGAAATAATTTCTGTCAAAATGGGAAATTTAGCATGAGGTACTTCCTCTGCCTGTAAAATGAAAATGTCAGCCACAGGTCTGCCTGAGTGTGTCTTCTATTCCAAGCCATCAGTGGAACCAGCGTTGTCCATTGATACCACCATTGGGTTCCCCTGTGTTTTGACTCAAAGTCAGGCGACTCCACGGACCTGTGATAATAGAAACGTGTAGTAGGAAGTGAATAATGCTGCCTGCTTGTTTTCTGTGTGAGGAATCACATTGAGATTCCTTAAGTATTTACAAGTTATCAGGATTTTTGTCTGTGATGTGTCAGTGTGGCGGATGTGTCCATTTTTCACTGTGTGTATGCATTTATCTATGTTGTAGGTATATACGTGCACATACATAAAATGTTATGCATTACTATTGATAAACTGGGTGTCATAGGAAACCCAAAATGATGTCTATTTATGTATCAACTCTAACATGTCAGATAGTAGAGGCTGTTAATGTGAAATATCATTGCATAAAGGTTTAACATCTGTCATTGCTTTAAAGGCTGAATAGATATTACAGCATTATGGGTTTCTAATAGATTAAGAAGGTACCATATGTCACGCGTTACCCTGCTTTGCATTTTGATACACGTCAAGCAGTGAATAATCCCGCATCTTGTCTGAGCAGAGATGGCACTGGGATAATTTTGTGCTCGCTTTTTAATGGGAGAAGACGATGATGCCAAAAGGAGTTAATTTAAATATGGGGGGAGCCAGTATACTTTTAAAGGTGAGCTTAAAAAAGGGGGTTATCCAACGGGCACTGAACCATTCAAGTCAGCGCAGACTTTGAAGCCGGAGGTTTTGTCGTAAGCCCTGAACGCCGTGTTTAGGCGTGCGAAATTCAATCAGAGAAAGCGAAAATAACTCCAGCCTTCTATTCCCTTCTTCAAAGTCTTGCAAAGGGAAGTTTGGCAGAAGCTGGGACAGGAAATTGAAATCTGAATACTATTTTAAACTGATGGGGTTAAAGGCCTCTCTTTTACACTCGCACACTTGTTCTTTTATTTGATACTTGAACTCTGAAAATTTTCTGTGACTTTCTAGGGAGAAGGAGGAGCAGCTGACTCGGGTGACAGAGGTACAGAGGCTGCAGGCCCAGCAGGCAGATGCTGCCCTGGAGGAGTTTAAGCGGCAGGTGGAGCTGAAGTCAGAAAAAGTCTATGCTGAAATGAAACAGCAGGTGAGGAGGTCACAATGCCAGCCTTTCTGAAACTCTGTCTCAGTAGGATAGCATATTCTGATCTTATAATGCCAGAAACACGCTTCACTGGAGAGTGCGACATCAAAATCTTTCACAATGTAGTGTCTTTGCTAGCAAGTCAGAAAGGGATGTTAGCGGATGTTTCATCTTTCTAACAAAGCCAGAATTGTCATTGTTATAAAGGTATCTGCGGTTATGATACTGATTAGGGATTTTTCAGGAGTGAGAGTATAAAGTGTTAGTTTATACACCCCTATGGAACAACGGTTGTAATTTTCCGCTTAAATGCGTGTCTCTTCCTACTCTTTTTGGAAGGACTCTGTCTTCTGTTAATGAGGTCTTGTAATCAGTTTGAGCCTAAACAGGGGCAGAGTCATTGTGGCTGCTGGCAGTCTTGTCACAGGGCAGAAAAATCCCATTTTCTATCCCTGAAAATTAATATACATAAAGATTTTAGTGTGTTAGGTTCCTTATGGAGCAAATAATAGTTAAACTGTTGTCCCTGGGATATTACAAATGCAGCACAAAGAGTGAAATAAAGAAGCAGCAACAGGTGATCAAAAAGAAGGGGAGAGAAGGGTCGAAATCTCAGTGCATAACTCAACGTTGTAATTCTTCCTGACCATATACTCAGTTCTCCAATCTCACCTATTGTAACCGAACCTCACTGTTGACAGTAGGATGCTGCAGTCTGATGCTGTAATGGATTCCTAACAATGTTGGCTTATAATTTAATGAATTCTCTTCTTCTTGTTCTCATGAAGTTTTTGTTTCCTGAAAATCTTCAATAAAAGTGAGACATCGAATAAGACATTGCTGATATTTTTAAGACCTCTGCAGACAGCAAATAATAACACTTGGAAATAAAAAAGGCAAGAATAAATTTATAAACCCAAGATTTGTGCTGCAAACACATGACAAATCCTGCAGTTTTCATCTGACGTTTTCTGTGCACTGAGACTCTCCTCCAAGTTACTTCTGCTCCAAAAGGGATAGAGTCTAATTCTAGAAGGACTAATAATAGTTTATGCACTTTAAAAAAAGGCCAGTGAATAAAACCAGTCCAAACCATACAGATGTGCAAAAGAATTTGGAAAACTTAAAGTGAATTCTCATTTAAAAGCAAATGCAAATTTCTTTTTTAGAATATTCATGGGTTTATTCTCTCCTTTCTTGAATGCTAAAATCTAGAAATAGTAAATGTTATTGTAGGATTGAGCAGCTCTGTTCTACAGGAACCGAGGTTCAAGGAAATACATCAAAGAAACACTACTGAAGCTGTCTTCATAGCTTTGTCCTTTCTATTCTTCTGCACACACATACTCTTTAGATAAATCATCCATTAGGTTGTGACACAGTGGAAAATTCTATTTTTATTTTTTTTGTTAAGTGGAATGTATTACTTATAAAACAGAAGCTATAGTAGCTACAGCAACACTGCTTTTAACTACTGTAGAAATACTGGGCTTCTAAAACAATGTTTTGGCATGTGGTAAAGTTAATAATGGAGATAAGTATGGGGCTTGGCATTTTCAGTTCTTGTAATCAATATTTGATTCATTAGTTTAGCTCTGGTGTCTTTTTGTCATCTGCTTCCTATTTTGTCTAGCTTGTGATTATTAAGAGTCACCTGATGCCCCTTCATAGGTGAGTGGTACATTTTTAATTGCAAAATGTGCATTTTTTTCTAGTAATAATTAGACAGAAGCAATGGGGAGACTGTGTCATGGGACTTGAGGTCTCGTGTTTCCTGGATTTTTCCTTATTGATCTGAGTAAAATGTGGCCATGGCCATGCAATCTGAGTAAGTTTGGGTGCAGAAGAAACTAGTCATAAAATATTCATTGAAGTCCCTTTTCCTATTAGCACATAGTAACAGTGAGGTTCGGGAGCTACTGGAAGGATAACTTGTTCCTTTCTATTCTATTTTTCTGCTTTCAATCTGGCCGACTATTCCTTGTCCTGTAGCTTTCTCCTGCTGCAGTGTTTTCCAATATAATGCTTTTCCCATTCCAAGTACTGCCTTTTCT